CCAACACACACTCACACACCCACACATACACATCGTGGAAAACAAACAGACACTCTTATACTTACATATATACACACACACACGCGCACACACACATACACACACACATACACACACACACACACACACACACACACACACACACACGTAGATGCACACACTGACCCCCTCCTTCACTCACCTACATACAATCCTAAACACAAAACTATCATGAGCATACATACACACACACGCACACACACACACACACATACATACACACACAGAGACACGCGCGCGCGCGCGCGTGCGCACAACGCGCGCGCACACACACACACACACACACACACACACACACACTCACAAACACACACACACGCACACTCGTACACACACGTACGCACGCACACACATATACACACATACATAAACACGCACATGCACACGCGTGCGCGCACACACATACACACATACATACACAAATAGACAGATACAAAAACACAAACAAATTTGAAGAGATAGAAACAAACACCACCTATGTTTGCCTTACCCACAGACAAAAGAGCTCGTGCAAACACAATAACAGCCCCGATGACCATTGGCTACCAAACTGGCAAAGAGTTCGAAGCCGACTTCACTTGGCAAATCAAGCAAGAGACTTTGGGCTTTATGGTCACCATTAACTTCAACATCCCTATGAGTGACGTCACGGTAAGATCTTCTACTTGCTGTTTTTTCTTATCATGGAGATCAGGCCTTAATTTTCCTGTCTCAGTTTAGTTTTAGTTTTAGTTTTAGTTAGGTAAGAGTTTTACTACATTCGCAACGACATTATTCGCTGTCTTTTGATTTCATTGTACATTTAAGGCAGAAAATTATGATATAAGCTGTGTTCTGTGGTCAGTAGAAAAGGTTGGTTTATGCGGGTAAACGAAGCGAGGCGGAATAGATAGATAAAACAAGAAATACGTTCCCCTTTATTGGCCCTCTTGGAAAATCTGTTTCGTAATGGTACACATCAATGCAGAGATACTTTAATTAATACACAAATGTGTGAACAGCTGATGCAACATACACAATATCACAAACACTGATCATGCGCACACCATTGCTGGTCGCCACTGTGCGGGACCCGGGCCATTTGAGCTATCTCGCTCAAGGCCTCATTGGTAACGTGGCCAACTACATTATCATTGAATACGTGATTATCTGTACTATCATTGCTGACGTGGTTAACTGTAATATTATTGCTGACGTGGTTAACTGTACTGTTATTGCTGACGTGGTTAACTGTACTATCATTGCTGGCGTGGTTAACTGTACTATCATTACTGACGTGGTTAACTGTACTATCATTGCTGACGTGGTTAACTGTACTATCATTGCTGGCGTGGTTAACTGTAGTATCATTTCTGACGTGGTTATCTGAACAGTATTTGCTGACGTGGCCAGCCACACTATCTTTGTTGACGTGGCCAGCTACACTATATTTGCTGACGTGACCAACTGCACTTTCTATGCTTACGTAAGCAACAACACTATCATTTCTGACGTCGTCTGTTTTATTATATGCCCTTATTTTAACTCTTCTTTACCAATGAATGATTCCGGCCTACTCATTATTACTATTGCTCTTTTTTTCATATACAACTACTAGTTATAGACACACATTACTTATTAGCGCTTTCCTTCTTAGTCTTTGTATTTTATTATTTTAGTTTAACGTTCTTCTGGGCAACTATAGATTGTTTTGAGGTCGGGACAGTTATTCTTTTAAATGCAGATGTTTTTACGTCCCCACCGATACAATTTAGATAATTTAGGAGCCAACCTTGGCTGAGAAGATACAACATCCTAGTAGAAAGGCCAAGATATTCGATAAGAATTTTCTCACCTCTTGAGAATTAAACTCCGGTCTCCTGCGTGCGACAGCGAAGCGTTGAACTGCTACACCACAGACGCCGATCGGAGAAGCTAATAAAGTTGTTAGAGTAAAGAATAATGAATGGGGAAGACGTGGGGAGATTGGGGGGGGGGGGGGTGAGTAGACACACCAGTATAAAATCCAGCTCGTGAGAGCGCAGATATATTCAGGAGTACTTTTTCACCTGTAGAGGGGTTGTACTTTCTGACTGTGTGGAGTGATTCCACCTGTCTCTCTCCCCCTCGTTTTATAAACACCTGCCCCCTCCCACCCCCCTTACCCAAAGAAAACAAGCAAAAGAAATGTTTTAAACTGCAACGGTACTTTCTTTCTCATTAATTATTGCTTAACAGCTCTTGCATGTATTTGTGCTCTCGAAGCATATGTACAAGTATTTTTACATTTGTTTGGACAGGTGTTTGTTTTTGTCATGCTTTCTTCGCCTAGTAGGGATAAAATATGAGTTCGATTCTGACGTGACTAGGATAATTTGTTAAGTAGTCCCACATCGCTGGTCAATGAAGAGTTTTACGGCACTAGCAACACAATTATAATATAATTAATAAGTACCGAAGATTAAAGACAACACAATAAGTACCGAAGATTAAAGGTGTTAGAGGAGATAAACAAACAGAAAAAGAAAGAAGAAGAGCTAAGGAAGATGGATGTTTGATAGGAAGGAAGGACCAAACCATACTAAAGCATCCACCTATCACCGAGCCATAAAACACTTACTAAAACTAAAAACCATCACCGACTCCCTCTGCTATGATGTACGCGACAGGTTCACCAGAGTGTTCTTGTTGTTCCAGGCATACACGGCAAGCTTTCACAAAAAAGAGAACAACGGTCGCAGATGGATCTTTGTCAACACGGTGAACGGACCCGGGCCAGGCGCTAACACAGCGTTCAGACTCCAGTAAGTCCGTGGCATTCTCCATTTCACACCCTTCTTTAATTATTAAAGACAAGGAGTATGGATTCACCCCCCCCCCCCCCCCCCAATCAGGGCAATGCTACTCTCAGAAGTTGTCTTATTAACATGTTCTTATGCACAGTAGAATTGTAAATGGGCTGATTTATCAATGCCATGCTCATACTGTACGGGAACAGCATAGGGGGGACAGCAGCAACAGCAGCAGCAGCAGCTCGATCCGACGTTGTGTCTTTGGAAAAGGCACATCACACGATTTTCGTATTTGGCTCAGTCCTTTCGGATATGAACGTTTAACTTGGAGATCGCGCCTCTTAAGTAACCAATTAGTCTTAAAAGAATAGTGTGTGTAACTCGGTTCTTACTGAGATGGACGTTAAACTCGGAGATCCAGCCTCTTAAATAACCTAATAGTGTTTGTTGATAAAATATAGGAGCGTTGAACCTTTACCATTTCACCATGTTGATAGGTTCAGCTCGGTGCGATGTTGTGTCCTTGGAAAAGGCACTTTACAAGAATTTGGTATTTAACTCGGTTCTTCCGGGGATGAACGTTAAACTCGGATATTCAGCCTCTTAAGTAACCTAATACTTTTTGTTGATATATAGGAGCGTTGAACCTGTACCATTCCACCATTTTCACAGGTTCAAAGCAACGAACGTTAAACTCGGATATTCAGCCTCTTAAGTAACCTAATACTTTTTGTTGATATATAGGAGCGTTGAACCTGTACCATTCCACCATTTTCACAGGTTCAAAGCAACTAAAGTTAAACTCGGATATTCAGCCTCTTAAGTAACCTAATACTTTTTGTTGATATATAGGAGCGTTGAACCTGTACCATTCCACCATTTTCACAGGTTCAAAGCAACAATCGCTGGCTCTACAACCACCAAACCCACTGGAAGTGCCGTCTTCGAGAACATGGGCATTGACAACTGGTCCGTTCCTACAGCACATGACAGTATGTAAATGCAAGGGGTCAGAATCGGAACAAATACTTTGTATTTATTTTTTTTTATAAAAAAGAAACGAAAGAAATTGAAACCGTTTCCACACATGCATTCGAATGACAAAGGGAAAATAATAACGTATCTATCTTCCGTCTATCTACTATTTTATTTATCTATCTTTCTATCTGCCTGTCTGTCTGTCTACCTACTTTTCTATCTACCTACCTACCTACCTACATATCTACCTATCTATCTATCTATCTATCTATCTATCTATCTATCGAAAAAAGTCTTTATTCAACCATTCTTCTTAACTTTGCCTAAACATGCATTCTAACGACTATACAAGTACAGCTACAAATACAGTAAGTATTTTTGGGACCGAATTAAAAGGATCGCTTTTCGCTTTTCGATAAACACTCGGTTAGCAATAATAATTTCGTAATTATATCATGTACTTACGAGCGCCATAAAACTCTTACTAAACTAAACTAACGAAAACGCATAGCGATGAACTCAGTTGTTCATCTCATCACCCTCTTCTTTCTCCCCCTTAAACAGACGATCATTCAAAATACAACTATAATGACCTGCTCTACAAGTCCATTTTGTTCTACGAGGCTCAACGCTCCGGAAAACTCCCTAGCAACAACCGCATTCCCTGGAGAGGAGACTCGGCGCTCGGTGACAAAGGGGCAAAGGGCGAGGATCTGACCGGAGGCTGGTATGATGGTGAGTAACACACCACCCCCACCCCCATCCCCACCCCCATCCCCCAATATTCGTTATGTCTGTGTGTGGAAAATAGTAAGGACTCATGTGTATGTTTGTGTGTACAGGTGCGTCCCTAGTGATGTTTTATGACCTCAACGTTTCGGTGTGATAATGCAACTCTCTGTACCCCTATCTACACCCCTCCCCCTTAAACCACCCACACTTCTACAAGCCGTTGGCATTCCCTTCACGTTCAACGTATTATGTCACCCATTGGAACGAGTCATGTCTCTTCCTCTTAGCTGATCGGCGTCTGTGGTGTAGCCGTTAAGCGCTTTATACCCACACACAGGAGACGTGAGTTTGATTCCCGTGTGGGGAGAATTTCTATCGAGTATCTTCGTCTTTCTGCTTAGACGTTGTATCCCTTTCAGTCCGAGTTGGTCAGGACAGGCAGGGTCGCAGCAGTCTGTCTTCTAAATCTTGTAAAGAGTGTCGATAAGCATGTACAAACAATTCACGTCATTATTATTTTTTCTCCTCTCAGCTGGTGACGAGGTCAAGTTCAACTTCCCCATGGCCTACAGCACCACGGTGCTCACCTGGGGTTATCTCCTCTACCCGGATGCCTACAGGGCAGCAGGGCAGGAGGACAAGATTCTGGACTGTATTAAATGGCCCTTGCAATATCTGCTCAAGTGTCACACAGGGCCCAATGAGCTGTATGTGCAGGTCAGTGATAATAGAAGTCGAACCTGCTCTTACAAATACATATTCAAAACAATCACCTGTACAAGAAAAGCTCTTCCCAGTGCTTCATTCCCCTCCCAAACCAAGTGCGTTTTGTTCTATATTAAAATGATACTGTCCAAGAGGATCTCCTCGTTGGAGATTCGAGCCAGGCACGTCCACACTGTAGTCCATCGTTGTTCTGAGTGAGTTATGGGCCTGTGTGGTTTAAAAAATGCTTTGCCTACTTATAATCGATAGGGAAGCTTCTTACCTGCTTTATTTAATTGAGATAATAATATGTTGAAAGGAACACAAGGACGAGTACGTCAGCGGATTAAAGTGTAGAATTAAATAATTGAAGAGCGAATGAACAAGGGAGCAAAAGAAGAAAAAACATCAGTCGGTTATAAACCAAACCAAAGATTTTAATACATCGTACAGCACTGAAACATACTGGTTTTTCTGTCGTCTACAAAACTTGAATGCCGTCTTGACCTCTGTCACAGGTGGGAAATGGCAACCTTGACCATGCCTCCTGGGGCCCACCAGAACAGATGACCATGGCCAGACCGTCTTACAAAATCACAGCATCCAAACCTGGCAGTGACGTTGCTATGGAAACTGCAGCAGCTATGGCAGCAGGCTACTTGGCTTTCAAACAAAAAGGTAGGTCTAGGACTGAAACGTGATTGTTACTGGTTATGCAATGTCCAACTTGTTCAGAGTAAGATGACAACAGGGGCATCAAAGTGGGAAATAGGGAGTTAATGTTGAAGAATATGCGTGTATGTGTACATATGTATGTGTGTACATGTATACGCGTGAACAGGTGTGTTTGTACGTGTTTGATGTGGTCCGGAAATACATACAGTCATTGAGTGCTGTCGGGCAGGTTTAATGTAATATCCAAGTTATTCAGAATGATGTTTGATCAGCTTTCGAAGACCGTAAACCAATCAAACAATCCAAGAGGTTTATATACGCATAACGACATGTATTCAGTTGGTTTCTTTATACTTCAAAAAGCTTATTTGCAGATTTGTCATGCTACCATACGGTACGATGTGACAAAATATGAAGTCAGTACAAACCCTGACTCAGAGCTATTAGAGTGCATTCTCCATAACGGAGAACAAAATGATTAATATCACATCCTACTGAGAGTGCACCAAGGTTGTCTTATCTCACCCATGCTGTATACAGGAAAAACTCAAGCAGGTCATGACATCCCAATTTCCGTAGAAATAAAAACAATCACGAACTTTCCACCGCTTACGACCTTGGAGACGTTACGAGAAGATACCACGACTACCTCGGTGCACAATTCTGAATCGCCAAGGAAGTACTCAAGAAAAGAAAAAGCAAATAATGAATTATGTAATTAGAAATACCACAAAATCATCACAGGAATTAATTTTCCGATTTCTGTCTCCCCAGACGTCCATTTCGCCAACACCCTCCTTCAACACGCCAAACAGCTGTGGGAGTTTGCCATCAACCACAGGGGCAAGTACAGTGACTCTGTACCAGAAGCTCATGATTTTTACGCGTAAGGACATTATTACTGTGTATACGTGTATGTGTGTGTGTACGTGTGTGTGTGTGTGTGTGTGTGTGTGTGTGTGTGTGTTGTTGTTGTTGTTGTTGTTGTTGTTGTTGTTGTTGTTGTTGTTGTTGTTGTTTTTTATTTGTGCGAACATGAGTAAACGTATACATATATATTAAATGGCCCTATAAGTGATATGTTTTTTTTAAACATATACATGTATATATAGTGGTTGTAAAGCGCATAGAGAATTCTGTAGAGCATGAATGTGAATAAATGCAATTATTATAATTAATCTACATTATATAAATACTTGTTCAAACAAATTGTGTTCATCTTTTCCAATTGAAGTTCCAATGACATAACGGACGAGCTGGCCTGGGGCTCTCTGTGGCTGTTCAAGGCTACAAGAGATAATAAGTACATGGTAGAGGCAAAGAAACACTTCGACCCTGCTCCTGGATGGGGCCAGTCCTGGGATGATAAAACCGTCGGAAACCAGGTCAGAATTCCTTCTTCTTGGATTGGTGACCTAGAAAAGTCTTTGACTTCTTTGGCAGAAAGAATGGAAATAAGTTGAGGCATCTATTTTTTAAAGACCAGAGTTAATGGCTCTTAGATTACTATACTAATTTGTGAGGATACTGAGATGTGCCCACAAGACATCAGGAGGCAATAATCCCCATATCCGATGTCCTACCTGCTGGCTATCTACCCTGCGTGTGATGGTGCTCTGAAGTTATCCGCTCTTTCTACTTCTTGAAAATGGTGAAAGGGTATAGGTTTAACGTCGCTTTCAACACCATTAGCATATTTAAGAGGTGGCTCCTCTGAGTTTAACGTCCATCTCTGAAAGGACCGAGCCAAGTGGGAATTTCGCGTAAAGTGCCTTTCCCAAGGACACGACGTCAGACGGAGCTCACGATTTTCTACGTCTTGGCAATAAACGTAATACTTGGGTGAAGGGTTGAGCTCTGTGCAGAGAACATGGGACTATGGGTCTTATATCTGCTCTCCCCAGCTCTAAAGTGAGAGTATGATGACAACCGTCAAATAGAGCTGGTAGCTCATTCTTTTATCATTTCGTTTTGGGTTTTTTCTTCCTTTTCTTTCTTTTTATTTTATTTGTTACACAATTGGCTCTTTTTTTCGATAAGACGTTGTTGATTGATTAAAGATCTCAATAGGTCGATTCTTTCTCCTTCTTTCAACGTTATCATTATCCTAACCTGTTTCTTGGGGCGTCTGTTGAGCTCGTCGTCTTCGAGCAACAAAAAAACACCCCAAAAGTAACAAACAAAAGTTTTAAAAAAACAAAAAACATGAATTCGATACTTCTATGAGAAAATCAATCTCAGCAAGTGTTCCCTTGTTTGTGTTGCGGTGTTGTATCCAATTCAACTCAAATCAACCTTGAAGGACAGGAATGAAGCAGCCAGCCTCTTGTATTATCTAAATTGATTCGACAAGGGTGTAAAACATTTAAAACTGAAATCTTCTATTGAGAACTGAATGTAGTTTTTATCACGTTACCTCGCCATAAACTACAAAGGTAGTTCTACAACTCCACCTCAACAGATCCTCTTCTACAAGTTGTCCAGCGCAGCAGAAAAGCCCAAGTACAAGAACGCTATCATCGGCACATTCAAGTCGTGGTTCCCCGGTGGTGACATCCCGTACACACCCAAGGGCCTGGCCTTCCGTTTGGTATGGGGCTCATTGCGTTACTCGTGTAAGTCAAATGTTATACTAGTGTAGGATCCTTTTGTGTTTGTTCGATTCGTGTATATTTAATATGTTCTTGTTTCACGTTGCTTCAAAAATTGTACGTTTCAAAATTATTGGTTTCTCGATTTGACACAATATTTTGAATAAATGGCTTATGGCGTCATCTAGGCATCTATGTTATATTTTGCAAAAAGGGGTTGGGGGGGTGTAGTTTTTTTATGGAGAGAAGTATTTGTATTGGAGTACAAACGAAATGTTCTCGAGAAGAGCTACTTTCGTCTCTCAAATAGATCTATTAATTTCTCAACGCTAGTGGTGACATCTGCAAAATTGTGTGTGGATTGCCCTGGACTCCTTCAAAGAGAGTGAACC